TAAGAGAAAGCTTATAGGATCCTCACTGCACAGTGGTAGTCTTCTGGGGCAAAAGACATTCAAGGAAACAGTTCAACAATCATCCATGAGCCTTATTTGGGCCTACTCGATGCCTGCTTTTAAATAACAAACAGCAGTGAGTCAGAACAGAAGGCTGATGCCAGGAGCTGTAATTCTTTTTGGTGGACAACAGGCCTTTCCTTGAAGACAGGCAGCTTTGTATTAATTACGAAGTTCTCCTGCAGCCTTCTGCAACTGCACTTGCCACTTTTTGAGTAAAATTTTCACTGAAATTGAAGGACTTTCCTGTGGTTAAAAAACAGCGATTTTCTGTTTTCATTTATCATCAGTCCAAAGGCCAAGGAAATGCATTACGCCTTTAACCTGACTGATTTTCTTGACAGTTTTGCACGGATGTTCTTGGGAAAGCTCTGGTTACATTAATGTAAACACTTGCATAGATATCTGCAGCAAAATCTTTTGCATTATATTTGCCTATTCTGTGAGCCCTTTGCTGTTCACGGAATACATGTTTTAAAAACTTATTCTTAAATATTATTCTAACAATACCTTTTTAACAAATGAAAGCCTAATTCCACTCCTTAAGCATTTAATAAGAGCTCTACCACACAAAAAAATGCATTTTGACTGTCCGGAATTAAAAACAAAACAACTGTAACTAAGTAATTGCAAGATTTTTACATTTCTTTTAGAAGTCCTCTAGATGGGTCTTTTAAGCATTTACATCTGACTAAAAAATTAAAAGCTCTTTCTTGCCAAATATCAGAAGCCCAACTGCTTGTGTACATTCCCCTCTGGTGGTGACTAATACATATGACAGAAAACAGCAAACGCTGCCAAAGGAGCAAAGATTAAAAAGGTACTTCACCAAAAAAAAGTGAAACGATTGAAACGGTTTGTTTTGKTTTGGTTTGGTTTGGTTTTTGAGACAATGAGCTCCTATAAATATTTCTCAGCAGTAGTTAGCAAGTACCCTGTTTAACCATATTTTACTGCTTTTTTCTTTTTTATATCACACCAACTCTCTTGCCAGGATCAAGGTTATTCTCCCTTGGCAACATATACTTTAGCGATATTTCTAGCTTGCTTCTTCACACATAACTGGTATTAAATTACACCACTTAATACTACCCAGCAGGGAGTTTCCAAAATAATGAAATAAAACATAAACAAGGGCAAGGTAGCTGGATGCAAAACTGCTGGGAAGAGAAATGAACATTTGTATTCACTGCATGTTTAGAAAAAGGCCATTGACACTTTCACTGGGAAATCAAAACTCAGCCTTGACAAATTCTGAAGCTTTAGAGAAGCAGCTGATAGACGAATGGAGGATGTATAAATACATTCAGACATCACGAACAGATGGTCTTCCTTCCAGCCAAGGTTTTCAGAGGTAAAGTGAAAAAACGTTAATTAAAAACTACAGGGCTGTGCAATATACCATCAATTATTCAAGGTTTTTCAGAGACTACCAAACAACTACTCTTTAAAACAGAAAAATCTGAGGATTTACAGACCAGTGGGGATCTTCTCTCAAGAGGAGAAAAAGAAAGTAGAAAATTCTGCCTGTTTAAGGATAGAACAAAAACATTGAAAACCGCTCAGTTCAGTAAAATTAAGAGCAATCATTGAGCTTTCCCAGAGCATTTCTTATGCTTACAGCTTATTGCAAGAAGGACATTTTGTAAGAATTTGTTCAATAGCATAAAATCAGGAAAAGAAATGAAGAGAGCATCTCTCACCAAAATGTTGTTACAGTGAATTTCTGCGTTTCACAAGAGTGAGCAAGGGTCACCAACAAGTTACTCAGAAGGTCATTTAAGCAAACAAAATAAAAACGTTCATGTGTGAGTATGGTTGGGCACATTTAGAGGCACGAGCAAGACTTGGGTTGCCCTTTATATTGAAGGACATTCGAACAGACTAAACTTAGCTTGGAACAGCACTTTGCCACCTGACCTATAGAAAATGGACCTTCAGCAGGTAAAAAATGCCCATAAAGAAAGTAGTTCAGCAAGAGAAAGAAAAGATCTAAACTCACAGGACTTGCCTTTTCAGAAAGCCTTACAGGATATCCCTATCTCTGCACTTTAAAAGGGCTAAGAAAAGCTGAGCAAAATGTTCACTCTCCTCAAGAAAGAAAAAATTGCAGGTAGCTTAAAAAAAATAGTACAGACTCAGAAACTCCAGCTTTGTGTTGCCTAAACTATGCTACTGATAGGCAATATCTAATAYATAACCAACACATGGATAGTACAACAAAAGTTCTTCACCAAGTAAACTTCTTTTTTTCCCCAAATATTAAATAAATGTAAATGACACCTGTCCCCCAAAAAAACTAATTTCAGACAGTGCAGCACTGCTGGTCCCTCTCCCTYAAGGGTGACAGGAAAGGCCAGGACCGAATGCCCAGCTCCCTGCCAGGCTGGTAGACAATGCAGCCACTTGTTCATGCAGGATTTTAGTTAAAAAAACTCAATAGTTGTTGCTGGCTACACAGCTCACGGAAAACTATAATCTCATGGTTATAATTGATTAGGTCTATGAAGAATATTTTTGCAGTTATCTGCCTCATTCATTTCCTTAAATAAAATGTAAAGGGAGAATAAAATATATTTGACATTAATGAAATAGACTGTTTCTTATAGCTTACTTGCATCTCTCCTAAGTTCACTTCACATTGCTGTCTTCAGAGACTCAGTCACTGGGTCTCCTCCTGCAGATATAGGAGCTCAAATACCAAGGACCAGAGCAGCCCCCTCTWGCAATCTTCACACTGCTTATTGACTCATCAGCTGCCCTGGGGCATTTTAGGAGGGCTGGAAACAGATGCCTATACAGGAACCCCATCCAGAGAGCTGCTTGAAAACCCCTCAGGCAGTGTTGGACCAGAAGTCTTCATTTGGATGTGCAGTGCACTCATTTAACACGGTGCTAAGACTAAGTGGGCTTTGTCACCTCACTGCAGCTTCACAGTAGCACGCCAGCAAGGTGTTGTGGCTTTTGGATCAGCCCTGCCTCACTTTGCACTCTCTTGGAGCACAGACGGAGCACACGTAGTGTTGCCTGTCCATGACTCTACAAGTGTGTCTGAGAGAATGCTCATTTTGCTTTTAAAAGAGATGCACTCCTGCAGTGTCTGGGATCTACCAAAAGAATTTATACACTTTCAACCTCCTGAAAAATCTAGTTAAAGTATTCGAAGGCATCTGTTACTACAGCTGGTATCAGAAGATGGGSCATTTCATTGCCTCCTTATGCTGAGCTCGCTTCACATGCTGAGGTCTCTTTGTACCTTGTCAGGCCCCCCATCAATCACTKACTTCCCACGCCATCCTCCCACCCCTGCAATCTCAGAAATTACTTAAGAGTAAATCCATCCTCCCACCTCTGAGGTTCTCTGCTTCCACATTACACACATCTTTTCCTTAGCAAGCCAGGGACTTTGCACCTTCCCCSTTTTTTTTTGTCTTTCCCCAGGAAGTTTTCAGTTTTATACACTGATGATTGCTTGATACTTCTCTCTCTAGGTTCACCTAGAGTAAAAATGAAATCATGATGTTGTCGTTCTGTCTAAAGTGCCCTGTGAAACCCAGGGCTTTCCTTCAGCTAYTTAGCAGTGCTTCAGGCTGCACAGCTCAAAAATAAGTTGTAGGCATTTTCTTCTTTCATAAACCCTCCTGTAGCTTTGGAGTTTAAAATTATCGTCAAATGGATACTTACTGAAATACAGTCCAAGTCCTATCTGCCTTGGTATTAACCTTGATAGGTCTCTGATYCTTCATGGCCATCAATCTGGCTGCTAAAGCTGTTCGCTATGGGATCTACACCAATTTCTGGCACTTCTCTTGTGATAGCTTTAGCAGCAGAGTAAGTGCTTTAGGGACATGAATTTTCATGTTCCACATTCTCAGCTTGCTTAGCAGTACATTTATCAATAATCATTACAATAATTTATTTCATTGTTATTCCTCCATCATGCTGTGCACATACTATTCTACACAGTGCCTTTTTCATAGTAAAATGCCCCCCATTTCCTCTAGTGGAAAAATGCTCCTTGTGTCTCAGTTTCTCCCCTGCCCTCCTTTTACTCACTCACCTTCACAAAACTTTTGCTTTCTTTTATTTCACTTAAGATGTTGGCCTTTCAAAATACTTCGCAATAACAGGCGGAACAAAAAAAAAAAAAAAAAGAGAAAAGTCATAATGCATGGGGCTAATGCATTCAGTCGACCAGTCCATTCACTTGCAAAACTCCAATGAAGTTCAATGCACTGGGTGTGCTAAACAACATGCCAAACTCAATCTGCACCCCACTTCTAATATAGTTTATTCTTTGACACTGCTCCGCAATTGTTCTTTCATCATTCATTTTGCCATTGTTAAGACTTCCTGGATCAAAATACAGAATTACTTTCTCTTTAAGCTGGGGAGAATTATTTGACAGAACAACTTCTTCTATATTCGTTTTATCCTCCTTCCTATTCAGAGTTTACCTCCCTTAGAGATAGGGTTATTGTATTCTTCAACCATCTACTACAAAATCACTGTAAGAATACCTTGCTGTACTGTATGCCTTAAACTTGCACTTCTCCTAGATTTTTTTATTTGTTGTATACGAGGAACAGAGATCTGGCTTTGGAGCAGAGTGCTGTAACTAACAACATTGCTCCTAATAAGCAGTCCAGAAGTACATGAGCAGTCTAGACTTATCTAATCTCAGGATACCATTTTTATTTTCCTTTATTATAGCAACTCTATACTCAATTAAGAATCATTCCTTTAGCTTTAGACTCATTTAAGTGTACAGAATTAAAGCAATCACCAATTTGTCCAGCTTTCTGAATATCAGGACTWCAAGGAGGTACATTTTAAAAACAGCTTAGGAAAAGACAGTAAGAAATGCAAAGCTAATGAACAATAACAACAACAATAACGAAAAAGATAATCAAAAACAGATTTTTTTTCTTTCATTCCAGGAGCAAAAACACAGGTGCAGTCCTGTGATCCTTCATGTAGGACCTGTGAGAAAGATGCTAACCTGTGTACTTCGTGTCCGGAAGGTAGGAAACTTTTGGTTTCTTTGGGCAGTTTTGGCAATTGGCTAAAATACTCAGTATACTAAACAGTTCCATGGTCTTTTTTGGCCAATGCTTGGTAGATGGTTCTTTGGCCCCTTGAAGCATCAGAAGGTAATTAGATACTCAGAAGATAAAGTCAGATATATAGCAGGTAGGAATAAAGCACCCTTAACAATAGTGTAAAAAATACTATGAAGTGGATGTTGTTGCTTTCTTAACTATTTGATTAAAAGTTTTAGAAGTGATGCAAGAATTAGTGAGCATGTATTTCAGGAAGGTTGTGCCGGATAATGATGATGATCCTTTCCAACTTTCTAATACATTTCTCTTCGGTCTCTTTCTCCACTTGGGTTGGTTGTTTTTCCAGGAAAATTTCTTAGCCATGATATGTGTGTCTCCCAATGCCCTGAGCAAACTTTTGGCAATGCGCAAAGCGGGAAGTGCGAGATGTGCTTGGACAACTGYGCGCTGTGCTCCAACCCCTGGCACTGTCAGAAGTGTCAGGCTGGAGAAGACCAGACCTTCTTCCTCCATGAAGGCAGGTGTTTTCAGGAATGCCCTGAGTAAGTAATCTTTTAAAGCTTATTCCTATCTGTTGACCACTCTTAACTTTATGCTCCRTTAAATCAGAGTCATTATAATCCTCCCGAAGGGAGAACTTACGTTAGTCTTTGACAGCAGAAGCTACCACATGGTRAAAGCCATTTTCAGCTGGCTTGAGGTGATGACATTTTGTCTTGACTGAGATCACAAGTGACTATGTCTGGTGGTAAAGATCCYGCTGGTGTCAGCACAGTACTGTCCTCAAGGTGTTTCTTTGTAGTAAATGAAAAATCCTCACCTAGTCCTTCTCCTCACTTGCTTCTTTGCTGCCACAAGCAAAGGTACTTCTCATGGACTCTGTTGTGGTTTTTGTTTGGTTTGGATAGGTTTTTTTTTCCTTTTTCTTCTTAGCCTTCACATGTCCAAGGATTCCTCTACTTCTCTTTCCCTCTCTGTTATTCTTTCTATACCATTCTTTCTATTCCCGCTATCACTGCTGAGGGCTGGCTGAGCAAGAAAGGAAGTCCAGCAAACCCTAGRGCTAGCACAGGAATAAGGGAAGGACAGACTCCCTTCATGGTGTGAACYGTGCAGGTTTTATGTTTGCCAACAGTGGTTATGGAATAAGAGAATGCAATGGAATAGAGGATAGACAACAAAATGTTTAAGAAATATTGTATTTCAGTGAAATATATCTACTGGGAACATAATTCTTGCCACCTACATCACTGAATTGTTCTGTAAACTTGCTCTGACCAGCTTTTTGCTTTGTGTTCATTTTAATTCAATAGAGGTTATTTTAATGACTCTGGGACTTGCAAGGAATGCAGTGAATCCTGTAAAACATGCATGGGAAGTGCCACCAAATGCCAGTCCTGTGAGAGTCCTTTGCTCCTGGAACAGTGGGAGTGTAAACATACCTGTTCGGAGAAGTATTTTGCTTCAGAAGGAATCTGCAAGCGCTGCCCTCCAATGTGTCAGGAGTGCATTCACAATCAAATGTGCAAAGGTATTACAAGGAACTTGCTATGGCTTAGTTTAAATGAGAACTTTCTTTAGGAAAGAAGAGACTGGCTGAAACACATATGTGAAAAGAAATCCCATAATGAGCAAAAATGAAAAAAGTGGGTGCATAACATTGCTAAGGCACTAAAATAAAGGCTAAACAACCTATGCTTTATGATGAGACTCAGTTGAAAACATGCAAAGGTGTTTCACATTGCTTTTACTGTTATTTTGTATTTCAGGAGATTACTGTTGGCTTAATTCTATTTCTGATTTAGCAAATGATTGGTCTTTCCACACTTAAATTCTTTAACACTTACATCAATGTACAGAATATTTTTTTCCTAGTTTAAATACAGCTCTTTGCCACTTCTGCAAATCACCACTCAAGGTGACAGATGAAACCTGTGTAGTAAAACATATCTAGTAATGTTCATAAATCCTCCAAAGTCTGACAGCACACACACACACACAAAAAAAAAGGGATAGCTAACATTTAAAGAGAAGGTCGTTCTGGAAACACTAGCATGGATGAAAAAGAATTATAAATAAGCGTGCTAAACTAGAYAGTTACAATAAAATTAATAGCTGAATCCCTATTCCAAATCTCCTAACACTGTCAAAGTCCCAGGTGCAAATATTCCAGACAGACTATTTTAATAATAAAACCTTCCAATCTAGACATGCCTAATTTTCCAGAAAGTTCACAATCCAGATATAGCATCTTAGGCGAAGCCATTCTCCGTTTAGTGTTAGCATGGCTTGGTTAATATCAGCAAAGTTGAGAGATGACTTGGTGAACTCTATGCTAATACGGTCAGATTGGAGGATAAAGTGTAAAAGGAAAATATATTCCCAAGCTGTCTGGCACTGTGGGATTTATGGCTTCCCAGGATTTCTTCACTCCCACAATTACCAAAGGCAGGACCAGCGTCTCAGCCCGTGTCTCTGGTTCTCCACAGTGTGCATGGATGAGTTCTCCCTGCATGACGGGAGGTGTGTGGAGGACTGTCCCTCTCACTTCTATGCAGAAGACAAGCAGTGCTTCCCCTGCCACGGGGACTGCAAGGACTGCGACGGACCCGACTCAGACGACTGCAGCGAGTGCGCCGTCAGCTTCCACGTCCTCTACAATGGGCAGTGTTTTGAAGAGTGCCCCAAAGGGACTTACTACGAAGAAGCAACCGAAGATTGCCAAGGTTGGCAGCTTTGTTTTCCACATAAGCAGCTGAGTAGTTGCCCGTTATGTGAGTCATAGTGATGTTGAAAACTGCAGCTCGGCAAAAGTTTATGGCACTGTATAGAGCAACTGAAGGGGTAGGCTACATAACAGTGAAAATATCAACCTGTTTGATTATGCAAAAGCAGTGCTGTTATTCATTTCACTCAACCCTTCGTCCTGATGGCTCCTTGTAAAATTAAATCTGGAATAATAACTTGAAATGAAAAAAAGAAATGCTGACATGCCTGCTCTGTGTCCTTTTCAGCATGCAATAGGACGTGCCAGACTTGTTCTTCTTCCACTGCCTGCCTTACCTGCAGAAACGGCCTGACGCTGAACCACAACGGGCAATGTCTGTCATCCTTACACTGCTCCCTCACTGAGTACCACGATGAGCAAATGCACACCTGCAAGCCCTGTCATAAAAAATGCCTTCACTGCTCAGGGCCCACTGAACACCAGTGTCTTAGCTGTGCAAATAATCTACATCTTCTCAGTGAGTACTTTGATTGTGCATCTACATTTTGTTTTACATTGAAGAYCAAGAGAATAGGAGAGCACCAAATAGGCAAGTTTCTATCTATTAAGCATCTATGACCACTTCAACCTAAATATTGCAAAGGGTGACCCAACAATAACTTGATGGTCACCTTCTTAACTTCTTCAGAGCTGTTTTGAGGAGTGGACAAAATGGTCATTCTGAGTTTTTGAAGCCAAAAMCAGACTTCTAAGTAGAAAAAAAAAAGTACATGGCTAAACAAAGCTTTTATTTGTTTTATTTACTCTCTATTTACTGACACATTTATTTCCCATAAGGAACTTGAAAAAGACAAAAGGAATGGCCTTAGCTCGTGTTTTGTAAGCACAGAGTTCCAATTTACATGTTGTCTCATTTAATCCCTGCAGAGATTTGATGAACAAAGAGGTACTTAGGCAGAGAAGTTAAAAAATTGTTTCTGGATCATTAGTCAGTCACTAGTGGAACCTTGAGAAAACTACATTTTTCTTCTTCCTTTGGAGGAAAAGACCCCTTGTCTCAGAAACAAGTTGATAAAAATAAAAAATCTCAGGACTTAAATTTTACTTCTTTATGTGTTAAAAAAAAATCCTGTAAAGAAACAAATACTTTAAATGATTTTCAGGGAAAATCTAAAGTAAACTTAACTTAATGCACTCAGAGCTGTCTGCACCTAATTCTGATTCTGAATTCTTAGATTTTTGAGGAATTGAGTCAGATTTGAATTACTAGCACACATAGCTTACCATTACCATTGGTGAAGTAGAAGGAAGTATGTACAATCTGGAGTGGAGAAAAAAATTTCCAAAAAAAAATAAAAGTATCTTTCTTTGCCTGTTTGTAATCTAAGCAGCAAAATAATAAAGACATGCTAGATAATGAGTGCAAACTATTAAGAAAAATCACTATTCCCTTAGCTTTACGCACTTATGGTTAGTTGATTAAGTCCTGACTTTTCTTTCCAGATTTCTCTTCTGCTAATGACCCTCTGAATCTCAGGCAAACAACGTGAGGSTCCTGGTACATTTAGCGGCAATAGAGGTGTATGTTCCCATAGCACAAGCATAGAGGGACAAAGACCAGAGAGCAAGCATCATTAAGTCTCAAACTTCTTACAATGGGGATTTGCCAAATACACAGAATGCAATGAGCCTGAAAAAATACACTTAGAGCAAAATTCAGCAAAAATGGTAATGCGGACAGAAAGTTTCCTGATTATTATTTCTTTCTTTGTGTACTCTGAAAGAAATCACAGCTGCTGTTCATTATTATTTGTTATTCACTGCATTTACATTTTCTAAAGATTCTTTTTTCTGAAGAATCTGCCAACATTCATAAGACTCAGAAGTGGAGACTAATGAAGTGACAAGACTTGGAAGAAACAAAAAATTATTAGGATGCCCCAATGTTCCCTTTACTGGCTTTGTTACAACTCTAATAGCATCCCTTGCTAGATTTTGCTCCAGCAGAGCTGTATGAGATTTTTATAGCAAGAATTACTGATGTGTTATTCTGCGTTGTTCTCTGTGCAGACACCACCTGTGTTGAAACATGCCCACCTGGATATTTTGCTGACAGCGATGAGGGTCTGTGCTCCCCATGCCACAGCACCTGCGACACTTGCTCTGGGAAGCACAGCTCGCAGTGCCTCTCCTGCAAACCGGGCTGGTACCGGAAAGGAAAAGGATGTGTAAACCAATGTCCGGCTGGGTAAGGTCCATGGTCTTTTAACTAACACCACAGAGGGAGCTTTGAGAAATCAGATCATTCTGCCCTGGAATGAAAATTTCTCATGTCATCCAAGTATACAGAAGAAAAAATAATTCTCTCTTGGTGTCCTTTGGCTAGACCTTTCTGGAAACATCTGGAAATATGCCCATCTGACAGCTAGGCATCAGATGCAGTGAGCAATTTGATGCTTAGCATTATCTCACAGGATATTTGTGAGAGAGACCAGAGTTCAGGATTTCTAAGACACGCCTGTTTATTTGCTTACATCACACCTTGTATTCACCTTGCATCTTGGACAGTCTTGCTTTATAGCTGGATTCCAAAAGGCAAATTCAGTCTAAGTAAGTGCACTGCGATGGAAAATGCACTGAGATGCACAGGAAAAAGGATGTTTTGGCCTTTCTTGGCAATTTGCACAGTGAATGCTATCTGTTCTGTTTCAGATACTTTGCACAAAACTCCACTAAATCATGTGAGAGATGCCATAAGACCTGTAAGGAGTGTATGGGACCTCAGTCTACTGACTGCCTTTTCTGTGATACGTATTTTTACCTGTTGCGCTCCAAGAACGAATGCATTAGCTCTTGCCCTGAGTATTACTACGAAAACGAGGACAACAACATGTGCGAGAGGTGCCACCCTTCCTGCCGAACGTGCGAAGGTAGGAGCCTGCACCAAAAAAAGGAGCAGCACACCAGCTGTACCTTTCCTTTKTCACGTCTCTGCTCCAGTGTTTGGAAAGGCCTCACAGGAAAGGTCTGGTTCACCTCACTTACAAAATATGGGAATCACCAAGATTAACCAAGACCACCAACTCCTGCRTAGCGCGGAGGCACCACAGGGCAGGAGGGCTCCCAGGACAGAGCCAGCGYAGGTAGACGAGTTGACCACGTTATTTAAGTTCATCCAGGTCAGCCGGGCTCCTCACAGAGAGGCTGGTCAGCCCTGGCGCCAGTAGGGCTGGACTCTCCTTGTCTCACAAACACTGAATAATCTCCCTCTCCTCGAGCTCTCATACCATGTGTGCCACTCCGTGCAAGCCAAGGAATGCAAACACAACCATGCATCTTTACAGTCTCCACAGAGTAGAAAATCAACAGCTACCAGCACTGAAAATAACAAAAAGGCCACAAAGCATCTCTAAAGTGAGAAAAAAAAAGTGTGTTTTCCGTTGCTTTGAATATAGTTTTTTTTCAAAGTTAACTTTGAGATACCATCTGTTTGTGGTACATTTATGTATTCCATGCCTGCTTTTCCATATATTATACTATATCTAATTCTGAATTGGTCTTGTTATTCGCCTTGTACCCATATAGTGTCCTCTTCTATCTGAATGGCATCAGATGATAATTAGCAGGTGCCACTCTGCAGCTTAGACTATACCATATTAAAATCTGAAAGTACTCTTTTGGACCATGGATGTAGTGGATAAGTTTGGCTAAACATTAACATGAAAATATTTTAAAATATGTAAATGACTCCTAGAGCAAAGCCATCTTCAAGAACCATTAAAACCTAACTATACAAGGACATCATAATAAATGATAGCAATATTTTTGCTCACATGTGGGAAAAAAAAGATGTCATTTTAATTTACAAGCCGCTTCCTGTGATTGATTTTTATTTTATTTGAGATTAATACTACAGGACAGATTTTTTTATCTTAATTATGGGGACAGTATGATGAAATATGATCCAGTCTTTATAAAAAGCAAACCTGTAGGTGCTCCAAAATGAATCTGCATTGTTGATGTAGGAGCTAGGACGTGGTGCAGTGTCTTGTGTTCCGTGTGAAAAAATTCACTGCATTGCTCAAAAAGATCATACAGTAAATTTACTGGGTCATAAAACATTGTTAACTTTACCTTTTAAGTAATGCCAATGTTAACGGATTCTTGTCACACAGAAGATACCAAGTGGCAGAAAACTGGACACACGTACATTTTGAACAACTGAACAAAGATATACAAAATATTAACTTCAATTTCTGCAGAAATGTGTCTTTAAAAATGCTCTCATGTACATTATATGATGACCTGGTTGCACGTAGTGAAATACATTTTTCTCCATGCTTCCCTATTTTTTCCCATTTTATCCTATTTTAAATACATAAATGCATGTTTATTCACTGTTGTTTGAAAGGAGTTAGCTAAAAGGTCTCAAAGCTATTGACTTTGTATATAAGAGAACTCAGCCAAGGTTCCCTACAGTTTTTAGTTTATTGATTGTAAACTAAATTCTCCTGAATGTCTCCAGAGGTCCCCATGCAGACACAGCACAAATGGTTAAGACAGGTGGCAAAACAGTTGCAGCACTAAAAAAAGGCACAAGTCCTTCTACTTCATAATCAGATTTTCATGAATTTCAAAACACATAAAAAATACACTTTATTGGCACATAAAATTTCCAGATGAGGGACAATCTCTTCTTCATATGACCCTTTTCATGCTAGACATCTCATTGCTGAGTCTTGATAATGACAAAGGTCCCTTTCCTTTGGTAGAGGAGACTAGTGTATTTCTGAAAGGAAGTTAGAGGAGTTTAGTTGGTTGTTTGTTGTTCTAACATGGTTTTGTTTGCCGTTCTAGGCAGTGGAGCATTCAGCTGCACTTCTTGTGTGTGGAGCTACACTTTAACAAGTGGAATGTGCAATTCAGATTGTCTTGTAGGTGAATACCGAGCCCTGGAGTCACCAGCAGAAGAGGTACCTATTTGGGACATTTTCTCCTGTGATTTATATCCTGACCTTTAGCTTCTGAACACATGAGAAAGAACACAAAATGCTCCTCTCTATGTTTTCAAGTCTGCTTATCTTTAAAGATTCCCACTTTTGTTATTCTCTTGGCAGAAGAAACATTAATTTTATTTCTGCTACTGTAGGAAGATTTCTCTACTAGTATATATAAAGACACAATGATGCCAAGGGTCATACCAAAACCACGTGAAAAAAATCAGCTGTAACATTAATAGAGAGGGCTTTTTTGTTTGCTATGACCAAAATTTCTCCAGGCATTTCTGCAGTTTTGTAGGAAAGAAATTTGTAAGAAATCACATCACACTTGTGACCAGAGTTCTGCTTCCAGAAACCACTAGTGAAGAGACAGGCACAAATTAACAGAGCTGTATTTCTGAAACTGGACCACAGTACTTTTGGCCATACCAGTTTCCATATTTCCACCTGCCTTCCAGATTTGCTGGTTCAAGAATATAACAGTGTGATAAGACAGTTGGCCTGAGATGCTGGATACCTCCTCTCTCCAGGAGATTCCTGTAGCAGGGCCGCTCCATAACTGTGAGTGTGGGAAGACAGCCCAACAACCAGGGTCTATGAAGGTCCACAGTTCTTGAAGGAACCACAGTTCCTTGCAAGGGKTTTGAGAAACTGGGCGTCCCAGCATGGCCTCCAATCTCTTCCATGCTTTTAGATTCAGGGCAAGAAGACAAACAGCTCTGAGCGATCTACCCAGTTTGATGTAAGGTTATTGCACTGGACCTGGAGTCCTGGTCTCTAGACAGAAAAAGTAAGAGACTTTTGCCCGGTAGGGCACTCAAAAMTGCAGAGAGTGGAAGCAGACACTGGTCAGGAATCATGTGATTTCAGAGCGGTCTGTGAGGTATGTGACAGCAAAGAATTTCAGCAGTTATTGCATACAGATGGTCCCAGCATTTGACCTACCTAGACTTTGAGAACAGTACCTGAAACTGACTGGCTTCTGTGAAACAGAACAAACATGAACTAATAAAAGTCTGTTTTACTAGAAATATTCCAGTAAGCTTTATTCTTTATTTCTTCTCCTTCTAAAGTTGGACATGGAATTCATTCTTTCATCTTGCTTACTTCCTCTTGCTTATCCTAACCTAGTTGCTTAAGACAACATTGCTGTCCTTGTTATCATTAGTGCTAAAGAGATATAGACTACCTAACAGAGGTCTGGCAAAGTGAAAACACAGCTTCTTGCCAAAGAGCTCACAGTTCAAATGAATTTTAGCTATCTCCCTAGTTAGGTCAGATTGCAAATTAAGCCTCTGCTGCAGTTTTGCACTCTCCTTACTAGCAGATAGATCACAGATAACCTAGGCAGTATGAACCAGATTTTATTTTTCCCACTCCCAACAAATTTTGCCATAGACACCTATGGTGTGCATGAAGTTCCAGAGAGTGACAGGGCAGAACAGCCRAATCCAAAGGAATGAAAATGAGAGGTGCCACTGCTTGTGTTCTGTGTCTCAAGGAGGAACAGCCCAAGTGTGAGAAATGCGACAACACGTGCATCGAATGCAAGGGACCAGGGCCTCTCAACTGCACCGTGTGTCCAGCCAGCATGCAGCTCTACCTTCAAGAGAGCCGCTGCCTGCCCTGCTGTGGTGCCTCTGGCCTGGCTGGCAGCCCGGAGTGCTGCGACTGCCAGGAAACACAAGGTAGGGCTGTTTGATATGGGGGAGCGGCATCTAAGGGCCTTATGACTCACTCGATTGACACCTGAAAAGCGGAAAATAACAAAAATGTGCTGCTGAGCTGCATGCATACTGTGTATTTCTGCTGCTCCATCACCAGAGTTGGAAGGGCTTTATGGAAATACCAGCGCTTGCAAGTTATGTTGTCTCCTTCTCTCAGTCATAACTCTTTTTTTAAACRGCCTGCATTTCATAACCCAGTTGACTGGGAAATGTTTGTTCCAGTGCATAGCAATCTAAATCACACCCTTCAAAACTCATCATACCAAAAGCACTCCTTTGACTTCGAAGTAGCTACAATATGTCATACAAAGGAAGATTTGCAGAGAGAGCAAATATTTTTATTATACCAAACTCATATGACTGGGCAAAACAGAGTCAGAGAACACAACCTGTCTTCCAATCTTTCCAGAAGTCAGRGAATTAAAAATATAAGTATTTCTGGGGATGTTATGTTTCTTGTATAAACACAGCAAGCAGGCTGTGTTTGTGTGCTTGTTAGTTTTTCTGCTTGATTATTCATAATCTAATGAAGAAGCTTAGCTACCCCATCAACTCTCTCCTTTCTTATAACCTTGCACAATCAGAACCCCAAGAAACGACTGCTGTACTGAAAGAACAGGGTTTTCAGTCTGAAAACCTTAAAGATGTTAACAGGACTAAATGTTCTGCTGGGTCATTTAAAAACAAGGAGTCCCACCTGATCTAATATAATTTTTCATTTCTTTTTGCTGTTGTCAGATGACTGTGTCTTACGGATCACTCAACCACCTGAGAGCAAAAGCAAATCAGCTCTCTTTGTTATCACCTGTATTTTGCTTATCCTTGTCATTGGCGCCATTATATTTATCTGGAGAAAGTCACGAGCCAAAACCCAGGCTGCCCATAAAAAAGGCTACGAGAAGCTGACAAATCACTCCAAAACCTTTCCTGCCTACATGAACAACTCCCATGAGAGTACAAGCTATCAGGAAGATCAGGTGATCGAGTTCAGAGATCGAGATAATGAATTTGAAGATGATGATGACAACGATGATATTGTATACATGGGCCAGGATGGGACAATCTATCGAAAATTTAAATATGGACTTCTGGAGGAGGATGAGGAAGATGAGCTGGAATATGACGATGAAAGTTACTCATTTAGATAACTCTTCGCTAACTTATRGATCTTCTGTTGTCTTTCTTACTRAATTACATCAATTTAGATAAGTTGATTGTTATTTCTTAGCATGCTGAGCTGAAGATATTAGTTAATGCATATTGTGACAGCAAAATGGTTTCTGAAAACATTTCCTCCTAAAACTTTACATAAACTCTTGCTAGTCTTTTCAGCAGCACTCCMGATGTACACTAGTTAAGATGTTTCTGTGCATTTGTGTGGAGACAAAATCATTTCCCAATATATTTGTGTGTGTGCGCATTATAACTGTTAAAAAATTTCTTCAAACAGCACACGCATAAAGTGCCACTTTACTGTTTGCTACTTTGTGATTATAGCTCGACAGCAAATCATAACATTTTGCTGATTTTACTCAGTCCTTCTTTCTTGATACAATCTGGCATGTATGTGCCTCTCAAAGCTGACACATTTCACCTCAAACTTGTAGCAGAGTTCTCAGTGAAATTATGTATTTATGACATGATGCTGAAGATTTTAATATTGTGATTGTGACTATTTCAGATAAAACTCTACTGTATTCATTGTCTGTATGAAAAATATTTGAAGTGTTTTATAACATCATCAGCATCTGAGAAATCTTAATTCCAGTGGTTGCAAAGCTTAAATGATCTTTCATTACACACAAGCTTTCCTGTTTACTGCAGAAGAAAACATGACCTACATGTATGTTCAGGAAGGAAGGAAAACAAAAAGTCCTTGACTCCTTTTGTCTTTGTAACTACCTTTTCAGGATTTAAGGATATAAACAAAGAGCACTACTCAGGCAACTTTTGCATTTCTGTTGTAAATCTCTCAGGATGTTCTGATGATGTCTATGGGGATAATTAACACTTATTTGGTAAAGTAACCTAAAGGAATACAACAGTGTATTTTTTTTATCATTACAGAAGTGTAATTTATCTTGCAACAGATAAGGATGCTCTATATGGCCCCTTGCTGTGAAAGAATAAATTCTTTGCACAAAACTCTCTGTGAAGTATTATTTGTCACATTATTGCCAGGTGGGTAAAGCAGTGGTCTGATCTCGGAAGCCTGTCTTTGACCTCCTGCTTACTCAGAGTTCCTCTAGATATCCAGTAAGAATCATTTCTAAAAAAACTGAATCATTTAGACTTAGCTTTTCCACTGGCATTCCATGAAGGATACCTAATCTTTACGGTTCAAGGCATAAACAGAATCTTTTGTCCTAAACACCTCAGGACCCTTCTCTGCGTAAMTATAAAGGAGACCTATGGAAATGTTTCTCGCTTCTACTTTAAATGTTAATCTTTTAATCATAGTGCCTTCAGGATCAGAGAGAAGCACAAGATCRTGTGACGGATTATAAGCAACAAAGCAAGGACCTGTATTTATCAAAAGTAGGATAATACACAGCCACTTTGGAAAGACACATCTATCACTTCAAGTTCTTGTCTTGGGAAGCTCTACAGACAAAGCAAAGGAACAAAGAGAGAAACAAATCTATTCAAAAATTCAATTCATACGGCGAGGAGCAACACTATGTGTGGTATCCTCCTCTCCCACATTTATTTGAATAAGTAATACACTACTTTATTGTTTTAGAGGCTTACATAACCTGGCTGTAAGTTGGTGGTTTGACACACACTACCTGAAATCATCCCTATCAACTACAGGCTATATTTGAACTGTTACAAACCACTGCCAGAGGGGATATAAAAAGCAGTCACAAGTTCTGAGACTACTGTTTAAAGGAAAGTTTGATGTATTTAAGTATCCTGATTTGGTTTAGAAAAATAAGCAGACTTTACATTTTTAAAATGTTATTCCTTAAGAAATCTTTTTCTACATTTGTGCAAGGCAGATGAGTTAAAGCTATGTTTCTGAGGGTGCACCTAAGAAATTAGTAACCAAGTTCTTCTCAAATGTCCGTTCTCTCCAGAGCTCACCCATTCTCTCAGAGCTTTCAGCTTAGCTTGGACACATCTCTTCAGCTACATTTTGAGTTTAGCAGCTACATCATCCTCTCTCGCTTTTGAAGCTCTTCTGCTCTCCAGTCTGACACTCCTTCTTCCAGCATTCAGAGCCTTTAGAGCATTGTGGGGAATCCTAGACGCCACAAAGCAGAAGATACTTCTTATATTTGCAAAGTTGCACAGGAAAACCTAAAGCAACACTGACTAGGATAAAGCAGCGCTGTTACCTTCTCTCCTCCCACGAAAGCAGTCTTTTGGCAAGGGGAAAGAGAGGAGGAATTCAACCGACTGCTTCGATGAGATGCAGAACTGTTTTTCAGAAGCTTCAAGCAGAAGGAAGCGATTTTCAGAGCTTAACCAAGGAAAGAGATGCACTAATTTCTTCGCATGATTCTGCAATTTATATTACACATTTGGTTGCACAGTTCTTTCATGCTACTCCCTGCTTTCTCACTGCATACATCTAAAACCTTGATCCAATTATTCTGCTGTATGCTTTCTCCCTTTTCACATTACTTATCTCCACTCCCCAGATTTCCTTCTTTTGTTACTTAAGCCTAAATTCCTAATTTCCTCACTTGTGTGTCTCATCTTTAGGAAATAAAAAGTCACATAAAATATTTACATTGAATCTGGTCTTCTACTTGCATTGACAAATCTTAGTACTGTGGGGAAAAAAAAACAAACACAAACCTATGAACAAAGCATAGCAGAACCAAAAGAAAAAAATAATTACTGTAAGTTATATAATCAATCATATAACAACTGCCATTTGTAGCTATGTTTATAAAGCCTCAGGCTACTTTAAAAAACCTAACAGGTCATAAATCCACCTAAAAACTCCCATAAAGCAATTGATAACACAAATTTCTACACATCAACTATCAGGCGCTGTGTTCTGTTTACTAGTTTTTTTTTCTCGGTCCCTTCAGAAAAAACAAAGCCAAGAAATAAAATAGCTCTATAACAGAGCTACTTATTACATAAAAAAGATAATTTGGTACTTTCATCTCATTTCAATCCCTGAAAACTAGCAGAAAATCTAGAAGCCTGCAAACAGTAGCTTTTTTTAAATACCCACCACTAAACAGTAAAGGAACTTGAGCACTTCTAACTTTAAAATCCGTAATTCGAATGTGGATACTGTGGCATTGTAACAACTATCTCTGACAGATACCAGTAAACCAGTGCACCAACACGTAGCAATCCCTATGATATATCCACACCACCACAATATGTTACAGTCTTTCCGGATGTTACTTCAATGGTGTTGGATATACTTATGAAAATGTGTGTGTGTGTTTATATAGATATATGCATGTGTATATATATAAAAATACATAAACAGTCACTGCCAAGTGCTAATAGCATGAGGGGAGCTTTTTTCCAAAAGACGTCCAAGCCAGACAGATCRGTTTAAGACACAGGTTTGTTTCCCCTTCAGCAGCAGATAAGCCCTGATGACACGACAAACATATCAAAGGTTTAATAACTGAACAAGAACGGTAGAAAAGCAGGTAACTTCCATCCAAATTCTCAAAGACGCAAACATTTTTAAAAGGTTTTGGAAGAACAGGTAAAGACAAATCTACTTGTAACTTTCAGACTATGAATTCTAAGAATTGAGCGCTCTGAGGCCACGAATAATGCAAAAAGTCCAGGGTGCGAAGGTTTGCAGGTGTATTTTAACTTTTTTTTTAAACCACACTTAGTACTTTCTAAAGAATTTTTTTTTAGGGGGAGGCAATTGTTCTCACCAACCTTTACACAACAAGACTGACAACTAACTTGTCTGGGTATACCAAAGGAGAGCACTTTAGAAGCCTGGTCATTATCATAAGCCTCCTTAAATACAGAAATTACAGAACAGCAACACTGCAGTAACTTGATCATTACAAAACAACGTGGCAATTCTCACAAAATCGAGCAAGCTATTTCCAAAAATTGTTAAAACAGCCTAAGAAGTTTGTTAGACTAAGAATTTAAAAGGTAAAAATTCATATTTAAAAGAGTATCTACATACTGGTCTAGAAACAGCATCCTAGGAAAGATGTTGCATGTCAAAACAAGAAAAAAACATGCATTTTTTCCTGGAGAAAACTTTCAAAACTTATCTACTGCAGTTATCTACTGTATTTACTCAAGGTTATCAGATATATGCCTGTATCTGCTCAGAAGAACTGTCATCTCCCTTTGTCATACAAACTTATCAGGTGTGAAATGTAGTTTACTGATATTTTCCATCTTCAGTAGACATGTTACTACTGCCATTTTCCCCTACTCTTTTGCAAAAATAAGTTCAAAAATAAGTCCCTACATTCACAAGATTTACATGAGCTATTAAAAATAAAATCTATTAAGTTTTAATAACTATTATAATAGTATATATGTATATACACATATATGATATATACACACAAGATATATTTATGTATTATATATACACACACACTATTATTTTTATAAAAATGGAATAATTCTTGATGAAAATCAAATCACAGGCATCAGGTTTTAGTATGGCATTTAGTTTTAGAGAAAGTTAGACCACATACATTAAGAAACCCATCCCAAAGGAAAAAATACCAAGGGAACAAAAGCTGCATGTCTGTTCCTAGCAAGGCTCACATCTCAATTTTGAAMCAACCTATATAAGAAGCAAGACTTTCTGAGTAGATTAGGACTTATATTTTTTTCTATACATGAAGATAGGTTGCATTTTTAACATCTGCTAAGCACATCTTTCTCAGGCTACTAGGACCTCAGGTAGGTTAGTTCCACAGCTACTCAAATAAGACTGGTTTTGACTACATGCATTTAGAAAAAAAAAAAGAAAAAAGTCTTATACTGACTTTCTCAGGCTCACTTCAATTCAGAAAAAGAGTCCATATTTTATTTCTTTTTAATGTGAAATTATGAGATACTTACATTTCTCAGACGTCAGCATTTTAGAAGCTAATTCAGTCAAAACAAGATATGAAACCTCTTTATACCTCACTTGCTATTTGTACTTCTTCATATGCAAGGCACTACACATATCTACAGTTATCTTCTCTGTGATTCAAATATTGTGTTTATAAGTACAAAAAACAAGTTTCTTTCAGCCTCAGGAAGAATGTTAAGCACAATAATGAAAGAAATACCCATAGAATCTTTCAAAATACCCTAAGGAATATGCAAACAGAATTTGTATCACATATAATCAATCAGCAAACTTACAATGAGTAAAATTATAACTCTCAGTTACATTTCATTTATTCATGGTACAGTGCAGCAACATTAATTGAAATAAATAGTTATCTGGACATAATACAAAAATATAAGCCTTCATAAAGTTTACAATGTGCTAGGAATTATGTACTGAATTTAAATAACTGATATACATTTTTAAATAGCATGCATGGATAGGTACATAGCCAAATGAATGTAAATACATTTTCTGTAACTTGAAGACAAACTTAAAAGTAGGTTACTTCACTCTAGTCATAATTCATACTCCAGGTGAGATTTGTGAACAAACTAGCAGTTTTTCAAGTTTTCCTTTTGTCACCATTATCTGTGGTCCGCACTTTGGCTCCAAACCCAAATCAGTTCTGTATATCATCATTTATTAGCAGCTGAAGAAAAGTATTATTCATATACCAGCTTAAGGCACCATGGTTTCCACAGACACATGAAATCACTGGCAAGAACAATTTTTAAAAAGTGTATGACAGTTTAGCTATGATAAACCAAGTTTTATTCCTTAAATATGTTCTTAACATATTTTGCTGACTACTGCTTCTATGACTCCATAAATATAAAAACATAAGATTCTGACATAGTTTCAAACTCAAGAATATCCCCACTCTTTTCACTGGGAAGGTGTAAAAAGAAAAAGTCCCTTTATCCCCTTATAATAATACAGACTTTTAGAATAGAGTTTCCAATATATTAAAAGTCCATTAAACCACTTTTTTTTTTTTTTTTTTTTTTTTTTTTTTTAAGACAGCACTTTTTACAGCAGCTAAGTTAATTCTCTTCCTAATATTCTCTTACTAGGAAGTGAAAAACAAAACACACAAAAGTGTGTTGAAAACATCCAGGCAACTATCAGGACAAAACTCTCAGCAATTTGTAGAGTTAGACCTGTAAACCTTAGCTGCAGAGGTCAAAATGCTCTTTATTCTAACCAGTGCTTATATAGAAACCACTGTTGTTAACATCACTACAACAGATGAGCAATTCACTTGCATTTTACATTCCAACTTCAAGGTTGAAGTCAGTCATTTTATTGYCAGTATGGTGAACAGCCCATAGGTTATCCTCAACTCTCATAAGATATACCTATGAGATGAGGATATATGCAATCCTGCCTTTGGTGCCTCAGGGCCCAAAGAGCAGAAGTCTTGTTTACTGTTCTGCATCACCTTAGCCTGAACCTTCACAGTGCATCAGTTTTCAATCTGTCATTTGCTTAGTAAAGCACTTCCTCAGAAGTAAGCAGCTCCTACACTGTCATACATGCAATCAACTAGACAGAAGTGGATCTCTGATTTTCCAGTAACTCAATCAATGAGTAACAGTGATTAGCTCTAGTTTAAACAAACTCACAATAAATAATTTCAGTTAAAACGCTAGCTTCCACCACAATGGCTGTATAGTATATCAAAAATAACAACTACAGCGAATTATACTTGTTATTGTTGCRTAACAATTGATTTACTACACCACAGGTAAATTTTTGATTCAATCAGCATTAAAATTTTCTAAACTACTAGCTATAATTCAGATTCAAGAATGAAACTGACTAAAGAGTTTAGAATAATATTTTGTATGTTAGTAACAGACATTTGTCACTTAAGTATTTAACTTTCCACACCATGGGAGCAGAAGAGGTCACAATAAACTTTGGTCATGTTCTGCATGTGCTAAAATCATTAAGTAACTGAAAACCTTAGGATTCACAGTTTATCTACAAGACCTAAACCAGCCCCTCTGCGTTTTCATGTGACTGGTTTAATGATCAACTGAACAAGCAAGCAAGCTAGAATCATCTTGTATCTTTTTATAGTGTTCAGTTCCAACCTCAATTACACAGTGCAAAGAAAAGAGCTCCACAAAAAAAAAAATTATGAGGAAGAGCTGCGTTTAGTGATTGTTTACTATTTTGCATTCTGGCAGATGAAAGAAGTTGTCTYCTTTGAGTTTAAGTTGATCTGGTAAATCTAGTTGTCTTTTTGCTTCTTCAATGTCTTCCTGAATAGCTGAAATAAGTGCCTCTATAAAAGAGAAATGAGGATATTTAAAAGCTGAATTCTGAACACATACCACAAGTGACTATAACAGAACACTAGAAAACAATCACAAAGTCACAAAAAAATTACTAAAAAGTTTGAAAGGAAAAAAATCTCTGCAAAGTAAAGGAATTACTTTAATTATTCATAATCACAATWCTCCATCAAAATACTGAGGTAATTTTTAGACTGAAATAAGAACGAATTTTCTTTCGCGGGGGGGGGGAGGGTTAGGGTTAATTGATTCAATTTATACATTAGCTTTTAGTTAATAAAASACTTCTGTTTCAATGGCTAAGAGAGAAAACAGCTAGTGATGGACAGACAGACAGTGGTGACAAAGAACTTCCAATATTCAAGAGTAATACAATTAAGACATTGGTTTAAGGGATATCTGTAATACTGACCTAAAGAATCAAAGTTTTTTTCTGGTCGAATATATCCTGTAATGACTATGCTAAGAATTTCTCCATAAAAGTCTTCTTTGAAAGTATGGATTATGTGGGCCTCCTAAAGAGAAGCAAGATAGCACTTATTATGAGGAATTTTTAGGTCATCTCCCTCACTGCAAGAGCGTTCAACTAATACCTCTTCTTAAAATTCTCCCCAACACGTACCAAGAAAAACAAGACACATGCATTATGCAAGATTACTACGTTTTTCTTAATCTATGTTAGCAGAGAATTATATTTCACATGCAATTTAAGAAAAAAAAAATTCACTTTAGTGTTCTAGCTCAAAAAAAAAAAAAAAAAAAAAGAAAAATACCACCACCTATTGAAGAGGTATGATATCCAGGGCAGCAAATTACAAACAAAACATATATATTTTTCCCTGATCATGTTGATGAGCTCAAATAACTGTAATGATTTTAACTGAAATAACTAGTTTAAGGAGTTTCCGTAACTAAGTCATCAGAGACAGCATTCATGCCCAAACAAAAGGATTTCCTAATATCCACAATTAAAACACAGTTCTGCAAGACTCAGCAAAAGCACCAGATTCTGATAAGCAAGAAAAACACCACTTTCACAGCTCAGGATTTTTTGAATACTGATTCTGTATACCAAGTCACAGCATCATGTATTTGCATTCYATCATTTCAGAGAATGAAAAAGCATTACAACTTAAGATATCCCAGTATCTCCTTTTTTAAATGCAGGTGGCATTGTAAAGTATGTAAGGCTGTTACATTATGAATCATTTTAATGCTTTCAGAACCACTAAATTCAGTACAGCTAAATAAACAGAAGYTTAGTAGATATCAGCACCATGAGCAACCATTTTACAAATAAAATTAAACTTTTATTTGAAAAGTAGTTATTTAATGATGGGAAAAGTGAAGAATATGTTTTATTCATCTATAGCAGCATGTTCTCTGCCTACTGAGACTGCTTTTCAGAATACAAACATATGAGATGGACACAAAAAACACTTCTAAAAGCAAYCTTTCTAGATGTCATTTAGAAATCAAACTTTGCTCACCTTACTCAAAGCAAACATTTGTCTTAATTGTACAATCAAAATACCACACAAAGCAAAATTCTTACCACTGATTTCTTAATATTCTTATAGAAAGGATTCCATCCTATGCTCAAAACCATTTTATGCACATCTCCATTTCCAACACAGGCCCATCCATAGTATATACCAGTAGACATATCAGATGGAAAGCTTTCCACTACTTGCTCAGAAAAGTTAGCTGCAAAAATTTCGAAAAGCGTACATTTGTAAGTTAAAGACATCACAGAACTTCCAAACACTTAAAAGCTCAGATTTGCCTACAGGCTATTTACAAACAGAACACTGATGATGACCATAATGATATAAGGTGCCGTATGGGAAACAATAAATTACAGAAATGCATCACAGAATGTAATCCCTGTGGTAATACTAGAGCTAACAGCTCTGCTAACAATACTGTTTTTATGGTTCATTCTATAGGTCCTATGGTTCATTTTTRTGGTACATTCTATAGTTAAAATCAACACACTCAAGTAAATTATCCAGTCTGAATGCATATCACTATTATGTTTTCCACTGCTTTAATACAGCCAAGGAGGAGAGAATCAAGTTTCTCCTGCACTAGAGCCTCACTTTAAAAGTATGTGCTACTTAAATAATTATTTATTAAGCCATGTAAACATAAATGAAGTCATGATTGTTGTCACTTGTGATACAAGTGACACTGTGATATACAAGTGATAATGCTTACACACATTGCCTTTCAGAGTACCTAAATTTAAGGATATCTTTGTGGGCTTTCTTGCTTGTTTTCAAGAAAAACTATGTATCTAAAGTAGAATTCATCTCTGASTTCGGGGAGTTTTTCCTAGGTGAGGTCCAGCTTCTAAATCCCTGAGCTTTGCCCTTCGCTTCTCCTTCTGCACAGCTAATCCTGTGCCTTCCCAGGGCAGGGCCTCTTTACGGGCACGRGTATTCCCGAGCTTCCCCCTCGCAGCACAGGGCAGTGCGGGCGAACGCTTCCCGGCACCGCGCACGCCATCGTCACCGGGAGACTTAGCCAAAAGCGAAAAACGTTGAACAAGACACGGGGAAGTAACACAAAGGAGAGGGCGGAACTATAACCATTATTAAAAAATAAATAAATAAAGCCTCCCGAGTGAGTTACAGCTATTTATAGAAGGCGCCAGCGGTGGCAKTAAGCACCGCCGCTGAGGGCTGCCGGCCGCGCCCGCGCTGCTCCGCTCGCCTCCCACCGCAGCTCCCGAGCCCGGCCGCCCACACCGCGGACCCGAGGCCAGGGCGGGCCCCGAGGAGCCGCCGCTCACCTGTGGGGATGCCCAGCTCCTTGGAGCCCCTGCCGAAGCCCTTCACCACCTCCCCGCGGCAGAAGTACGGCAAGTGCTTCATGGCGGCACGAGGGCGGCGGCCGTTGGGGCCGTTAGGAGCGCGCGCTCACGCGGCCGCCGAGCACGAGGCGCGCGCGGGCCCCGCAGCGCCGCTTCCCGGCCGCGGGCGCCACCACGAGCGGCTGGGAACGGAGGGGCGCACGCGGAGCGCCTCGGCCGCCCGTTGATGGAACTGTCGGGCAAGCACCCCCTTCCCCCCCCCCGCCAGCCGCAGCAATGAGCTCGCCCTGGCGGCCCTGCGCGGCGCTCCGGGGCGGTGGGCGGCCGCGCGCATGCGCAGCGGCGCGCTGCAGCGAGGAGCGGTGCGGCGGCCATGGCGGCGCGCGGGCCGTGTCGGTGGTTCCGCCCGGCGCAGCGGGGCGCCCGGCCCGGCCCGGCCCCCGTCCCCTCCCGCCGCCGCCGTTTGACCCGGTGACGCACATCCCCACACCGGGCTGGGTGGCTCGAGCAACACGGCTGTGAGTTCCCCGCGCCCAGGTGATGCACAGGCCCAGGCCCAGCCCCATCCGTTAGGCGCGCGGGGACGTCCTTGGCTCGTGCTAACGGTCTCCGTTAGGCTTGCGCCCAGCTCTGGCCTGCCCAGCAGTTGCATGCAACAAAAATACAGCCTTTAGCGGTGCCGATGGCGACTTGAATGTSCGGAGTGTCTGCTGCCACACGTCGCTTTCCTTTTTTAACATTTAATGCTGAGTTTTGCATTTTTAATGCTGCACCCCTGAAGAAAACATTGCTAAACAAAAGTCATTTTTAATCCCCGGTAATTTCCCGTCCTACTCAAAGTCGCTCTTTATGTCATTGATTATGGCTGCGCAAGTTTTTCCTTTGGGAAAATGCATCCAGATGGAAACACTGATGTTGCATTCTCCATGTATACTTAAAGGAAAATGAAGGGCTAATTCTGCATTTTCTTTCTTTTATTCCCCTTTTCCAGTTGCTTTTCAAGTACCACAGCTAATTAGCAATTTTTTATTAGCAATCAATGAGTATGACCTAATCCTACTCAAATAAAATGAGTTTCAAATSGAGCTTCAAGTGTGCCGTTAATACTAGCTGTATTATGTGCAATAAAGTCTCCAGTACACAGCCGACAGTGTATGTATATGTAGGAATATATATGCYAGTAAGGTAAGGGGGCTTATTAGGGACTCTGTAGTGTGTTAAAAGCTATTTATATGTAAACATTTATCTTGAAATATGGCCAAGGTCCTTGAATTGCATTTCCAGTCATTGCTGATTATTCTTCTTAAGAACTGAGTTGTTAGTTTCGCCACTTTGATGTAAGAGTTACAAAAATGCTTCAGGARTTACCTTCTAGTTTGATTAGCTAAGCTTTCAGTGGGGAAAGCAGCCCATGTACGTATGACTTTTGCTATGATGCARCTGCAGTGCAGGTGTCCCCTAATCTATTTTAGTTTTGTGAAAACCTGACTGATGTGTAATGGCAAAAAGCATTGGCTGCAGCCAGCTCTTGGCAGCGAGCCCATGGCAGAAATAATTTTATGGTATATAGCTAAAATCATTAAAAAGCATAATTTCTACTCCAGATTTACCCTCTTCCTTTTTTCTTCTTTTTTTTTACCTTTTCTAATCCTAGTTGCGCACTATCCTTTTTTATGCTAACATCACCTTGTTACTTCATTTTGTGTAACTTTGAGTTCCAGGATTATTGTTTATGTGACTGTAGTTACACAGGATGCCATGGTGGTTATATGTATAAAAGAAGAGGAGGCGATCAGAAGATCTGAAAACTTCCTTGCTTTATAGGTTCTGCTCTGTGGGCTGACAGCCTATATAGAGAAAAGTGTTAAAAGTTGTTTTCTAGTAAGTGATACTTATTAACAGAGTTATCTTGGCCATTAAATCCAAATGCTRAAGTTGTTCCTTTTCTGCTTAAGGGCAGAACATTCCTGCAGGGAGTAAGACCYGCTCTCCACTGGCATTTTTCGCTTATTTCAGCTAAAGAGCAGCAACAAAAACACTAAACAGATACATTTCCACATCATGGTGAGTTATATTATGATTTATATTATGTAGTTGTTTATTTGTGTCTTGTTCTAAATTTTTAAAATGAATAAATCTTTTCAGAACACATTTTGATGTTCTTGGGATATCCACAAGGTGGCATATGATCTCTTCTGTTTTGGTATCTGCAGGACCTTGGGAAACATTAAGTCAAGGAAGGATTTATTTAAGAACTATTTGGTAAGTTACTTCACAACAGTTTAATAAATGASTGGTATCTCACTCTGTCAAGCAGTTGTAATATTTGTCATTATTCTCAGTCTTGGTGTTGAATTGCTGAGATCTTCTTAAAGCTTAGGCTATCCTTGGTATAGGACATCTTTTTGTTTTGTTTTTTGTTCTGGTGTTGTTCAGGTTAATTGCTCTTAGTTCAGATGGAAGATTTTGCATAGGTAGAATTTAYTTATCTGTTTTGAAATTTAGTAGAGTTGTTAGGTATGTTTCTTCAGAAAGTGTAATACAATTTTAGTTATGAACATGTCTGTGAACATCTCTCTGAGATATAGCAGAGAGAAGCAGATTATAGAGAGAACAGCAGATTAATATATTAATGGATTCATACCTGCAATTAGAAAAGTCAGGCACYATTTCAGACAACTAGAAAAGAATCTTTGTCCTGTGCTTATACAGCATTTTATACAGCCATTATAATCCGTGAAAATTCAAAAYGTTTCCCCAGTATACACAAAAACCAGGAAACCAAAACCAGAGCAGGTAACGTGTCACCCATGCAGGCCAGGGGTCAGCTTGCCCAACACATTGTGGCCTGATATTTCCTGTAATGGAGTTCATGTTGTTTTGTAATTCATCCTATGACGTGTATCACATTGCAGCTTCAGGCTAGAGCCTTTGTCTCCTGCTGCTGCATTGTAAATGAAGGCATTCCTAGGCATGGCTTAAGGTGAGATCAGGGATWTCTTGCTTTCTGGATGTAAAGGCAGGGAAAAGTAGCAATGAAATCTCTCATATRTACTAGGATATTTTAGAGTTGTCCTGGTCAAGCTGGAAAGTCTGGTAATATTGGGCTCTGTTGAAATATTCAACAGGTGGCTGAAAGAAAAGGGAGCCATGTAATAAAACTAGTAGTACTTTAACCAGCTCCTTGGAAAATTCTGTAATAAATGACAAAACTCTCATTGATTCAGGAGTTCAGTCCAAGGACACTCTGGCACTCCTTGCTCTTAGCAGGCTGCAACATGGTGATGAAATCAGGAGTACAAAGACATACACAAAACAGTCTTCCCAGAAGCTTGCCTAATAAACACATCTGCTTTGAAGGTGTTTTTCAGTATTCTGGTCTGAAATAGAAAAACAGGAGCTAATTTTTCTCACTTGCTTTGAAAGTGCTATCCTGTGTTTTGATCTGAAATAGCAAAACAGGAGGTCATTTTTTTCTTCTTTTCTTTTTCCCCCTCTGTTTTTTTCTAATAGCCTGAAGTGTTGTTCCATTTGGAAGAACCATATGTAGATTCAAGGTGTAATCACTAACAAGACTGTACTACATGACAATGCTGTGGACGCTGTCGTACTGCAGAATTGTTGATAAGCTTATGGTAATTTCAGAAAACCCTGGCCTCTACTCTTTTCATTATACTGGATAATATGTGTGAAGCAATAGCTGCTTGACGACTTACACATGCAGTTCAGACATTGCAGGGTTAACTGAAGTCATAAAGCTTATAGCAGCATGTTCAGAAGTTTTCCTCAGCTTTGGAATCACTTCTGTTCTCCCTAGTGCCTTTTTCCAACCTGTATCTTCAACTAGCTCCAAGAAATAGGAACAGCACAACTTTCAACTAGCTGAACTGCTTTCCATACATAGCACTATGTAGATAATTTATAGTTAACACTTGCAATTCCCTGCATTTTAAGTCTACACCTAGGCTTTCCTCCCAAAGAGCATTTAAAAAGATTTTGCAGCCTTCCCAATTTGTCCTTCTCCCAAGAATGGCTGACTAGGGGCCTCAGTTAAATAATAACTCTGTGATCTAACTAGCCCTCTCAGGCATTGCCAATTTGAATGTCAAAGTTGTTCATCACACAGGTTATTCCAGACACAAGTGACCCAAATTAAAGTGATGGTGTAACACACATTTTTCTGTAGGCATTATAAAAGCAATTCAAAGCCTTGAACACTGAGATTTCCGATCAACTACAAAAGGAAAGATATATTACAACCTAATTAATGGTTTGACACAATCTTCCTACTTTCTTGGTAGCACAAGTTTAACATGTCCTGACATCCTGGCCACCTTCTACCCCTAAACATGGCTGAATTAATTTTGCATTTGTTCAAGAGGCTGTGCCCCAAAATAACTCAGATTTTGCAACAAGTGGCACAGACTGCCCATATGGATCCCAGAACAAACCAGACAAGAGCAAGACTACAGGGGTCTTGGTGGAGTAGGTTGGGAGGTATTTGTCGTGTCGTCAGGAGCCTTGCAGTGCATTGTGGATGAGTGGGAATTAGGGAATTTGGGGGCATTTCTGCTTAGTATTCCTACAGAAAAGGCACGTGAGGAAGAAGGGCTAATGGGCTAGAGGMGGCAGGAAGCTCAGATCTGTCACAGGAGCCACAGGCAAATACAGCTGGATGAGTAGTGGATTTTTCAGCTCATTGTATATAACGAAAGCAGAAATAATTTTGGTGAGTCTTAATCATTTCTGATGAATTGGAAATAAATAAATACCAAAACGATTAAATTTTGATAAACTTYTTGGCTTTTAATTCCAAATTGTATTTGCAAAGAAAGAAAGGCAAAGATGTTAAGACTGGAATAACAGGGCAGTGTCTCCTGGCAAACAACCTGTTAGAAGGGAGGAAGCTTAAATGGGAATGAGCAGAGAGACAAAAACAGCAGATGTGTGATGCTTGTGATACCACAAGTCTGRAAACACCTTATAAATTAAGTAAGCAGTATTATTTATAAAGTAAGCCATCTTGTCAAAGCCATCCGTTTTCACCACAAGAACTAGCACAATGATTAAAGGAATTAAAAAAAAAATCAGTGACCACTAGACTCATTTTTGGAAGTCATGCTCAGAACGAATCCTCAAAACCACAGGGCCCTTATTGCCCCCATAGTAAATATGCCTTTTTTAAATCCAGGAATGCCCTGCAGAGGGTGCCACTGTTACTGCAAGTAGAAGAAAGGCCACATTAAGTTCCCRGCTGCAAAGGTTCTTTGCTCATGCAGTGGCACTGGAAAGGGAACATCAGCATGGTCATGGTGGTGACTCACACAGCAGGGAGAAGGGAACAAAATGGCCACAACATTTTTTTTCCTTTTTTAGCTTGTTCATTACTAGCGCTTCCTACCTCGCCTGGGCTGTGCCTTGCTGTGATTAGCACAGGTCTTGAGCAACATGTTGGAAAAAAGGCTGCCATTTCAGCCCACTCGCACTCTAAGCAATGACTGAGCAAACAGGACGGATTCCGTCTGGGTTTTCTCATTGCCAGAAGCAGCCAGGAGATGGTGCTACACCTCTCACTGCTGATGTGGGGAGTGCTTCCCAACCACGTGGGGCGATTCCTGCATGTTTTGCAGCACAGCCATCCAAACAGGTCAGCAGCCTCCTTCCCGAGCAGCATTGCAGCCTTTGGAAGGTAAAGCCCTAACCTTTGCTGCCTGCGGGGAAGCCCTCCCTATTTATCTGCAACCACATGTTTTCCTAATTTGGGGAATATTCACCTAACAGTGGCAGAAGGTGCTGGCCATAATTTCCAGTCTTGGCATTTGATCCACATCCCAGTTTTTGAGTGCACGACTGCAGGGCCCCTTGGGCAGCCTGACCGGCTGTCCTGCTGACAGGGGGTGACGCAGCTCCTACCACATCACCCTCCTCCACCTTCACCTGGCCCAGAGGTGCCCTTCCCACCTGCAGAGTGTTCTCCATGCTCCAGCCAATGCCACACATGCAAAAAATATATAAAAAAAGGAAAACAGAATTAATACAAGACTGATTTCTCTTATTTGGGCAAGGGGAACGGGAAAGAAGAAAACAGAGGATAAAACCCTGTAACTAAGATGGGAGTAAAAAATTATGGTCTTGCCTCAAGTGATTCTTCCAAAATGATTTCCTTCTAGCAATGACACAGCACACACTGCAGCAATAATGATTGCATAAACATGAGCAGTGAAGTAAAGCAGATGAAGTGTAAAACCACATTCTTAAAATCATATGTGGATTTAAACAAAAGCTCAAACAAGGCACATTTCCTCCAAGGTTTTTCTCCACCCGTGGACAAGGAAGCAATATGTAGAAACAATAAGAAAAAAAAACAGAAAAAGGAAAAAAAGTTATTTTTCTTCACTCTGTTCTTCCCAAATCATTTCCTACTGATGTAACACTGAGCACAACTGCAACATGTGCTGTCTAACTAGAAACACATAAATATGAAAGGACAAAGGTTGTTCCTACGGTCAGGGGCTGCTAACAAAGAACAACAGTCATTCTATCCATGTGTTTCCTGATCTTTTTGCAACCCATCACGCACGGAGGGTTTGCATCCTGTGATAAGCAGTTACCGACCATACCACTAAAGAAGGTGTTACAGAACAAAGCAGCCCTACTGCAGTTCTTAGGAGTGATGTGTTAAAGCAGATTCATCATTCCACGTAACTCCTTCGGAAGTCCTATGAGAATGGGACTTCAGAACCTTTCATGATGCTTTTTTCCTCCTTGCCTTCCAATTTCCCCGATTTTCACCAGGCTCTTTACAAGGTATTTTATCAATGAMCAAACTCAGTAATGATGAGCATGCCAAAGAGCTGGACTCGGTGACGTGGGAGCCAGCAGATGCAGGGCTGCCAATGGGCAGAATAGGACCTCTGGCTCAAGCACCATGTCCGGTAGGTTTCATTCCTCCTCAGTCCATCCGGGAGCACGGACATTTGCACCGTCGTCTCCCCAAGCGCGGCTGGTTGTTCTCCAGCTCCAGAGGGAGCGCAGGGCGCAGTTTGAGGGGGCGCAGTTCTGCGAGTTACAAATAACAATAACTTCCTTCCCCGGAACAAAGCAAAAAAGATTCTTACTGTAATTCCACACAGTTTTGAGTCATGGAGTCTCAATATGTGCTAGGCTATTCAGTGCCAGGCTGTTAAGCCTACTTTAACTTACCGAACTAATCACAGAAGCTCTGTTCTTTTTTGTTTTTCATGGCCATCATGAATGGAATTCCAGACAGATAGGTTTAAAAAAGGTGTATTTTGTTTGTCTTCTTCTACTGAAATGAATCAGAGGTTAATAAATGCTGTTATGAGTTTTGCGCAACCTCATACTGAGAACGTGTATACTAAAGCTGAACAGATATTTTGAGGCATTGCAAAATATTTATAATAAAAAGGATATAGTATTCTAAAGAACTTTTAATAATCCTTCGCTTCCTTCTTCTAGAGAAAGAAAAACTAAATCTGTTTAGTTTTCAGACGATATCTTTTCACATCAGATAAGCAACTCAGACTAGTATCTTTTCACATCAGATAAGCAACTCTAACATTCATTGTCTGTCTCTAGGATTAAATAATAAGTGATAAATAATAGAAGAGGAAACATTAGAACTACTTTTAGAGAATACCAAATTAAAAAAAAAGACCTGCCTTTTCCCCCTCTTCTTTTAAGGGGAAACCAAGCCACAGAATAGAAGTTGCAAAAAGATCCCTTTTGATTAGACACTTGTTTTCATGCTAGGAGGTAATACTGCCTATAGCAAACCTGTTCACTAGATTTAATGTTTCTGAATCGGTTGCCCTTTGCAGGAAATACACACCAAATGATTCAAAGGTTCAATACACTCTTGCCTAAGAAAAATCTTAGGCATGTAGCTGTGAAATAGCCACTTGCCACAGTCAGGCCACCTCTGCTTTGGCTAGCCCGTCCTTGGTTGCATTGCCCTGTCCATGGCAGCTCGCTCTCCATGTCACTCCTCAAAACCCACCTCATACTTTTAATCCTCAATAATGTCAGATTAATAAATAAGTAAAACCCAGCATCAATGGACTTGTGCCATGTACATAGGCTTGTCAGTACCACGCTATCTGCTTTCCCCTCGGTATTATGCAAAGCTTATTAATGAGCTTATTAATGAGCTGAGACTTTGCATATATAAGGTTTCAGAGTCGTTTGTAACCTCACCCAAGGCAGTGAGAGCACTCCATGGTGCAAATTCTGCTCAATGTGAGTGGTATTACTAAGTTTCGTGTCTCCTATTTACTTTTCAGAGATGAACACAGAAGTTCAAGGTAGATCAATACTTCTTACAAAGCTGAGTTCAACTTGGACTGTAACATCCCACACTATAACATTACTTCCTGCTGAGCAGGAATTTAATCAACTGCTCTAGCCACTTCTCTTTTAGCTTTCTCATAGACTTGTGCCAAGGACATGCATTAGTGAACTAAGAGGCGAAAGGCTAACAAAAGACAATTGTTCACCTGAGCACTCAAAATTGCTGCCAAGTTGGTATCAAATTGTTTATGTCGGTTGACTAGTTTTTAAATGAATTTCAATGCTATGTTTAAACAAAAAGGAGTGAATGTCAATACAGAATTGAAGGCTCTTTCCACTGCAGCCCTTAGAACACTGTTCGATTAGATAAAAGTAATTTACTACCTTCTTCACAAGTACTTCTTCAAATATATCTGTATCAGACATTTACAGTCACCTCACCTGTCCAGGGTTATTTTAACTATCATGAAGGATTTTTGATCAATTCTCAGTCAACACTAGAACAAGTTAAGTGATTTGAAACAAACCTCCCTTACTCGAGACAACATGGAGAAGAAAACAGTCTCTGACTCCTGGGTATTTTCTGAGTAACTAAATCTGAGTGTGTTCATAGCTAATCCCATTTGAACCTTTTTCTTGTGAACACTGTACTGTCCTGAGGTACAGACTGCTGCCACAATGACAGATGTAACAATTTTAACACTAAACAGAATGTCTAATGGTTTAAATTAAAGTACATCAACCAGGAAGCTTTTGTGAAGGACAGGATTTCTCTTCCAGATGCCCAGATGCAATTCAGATCTTCCTAGGTAAGTCTTGAGAGAGAGGTTTTTTTTTTTTTTTTTCAGGATGACAACAACCCCACTTCCCAGCAGAAACATASATCACTCTTTGGCACATGCCAGCAATATGGGAGCTTAAAACACATAAAAATATTTATTTAAAATATTTTTCACTATAGAGCAAGCCACTGAATTTTTCTTGCAGAGCAGTTTTTGTTTACAGAGATCTTTCCTGTRCAGGACTGTCTTGTTTTTCAAGAGATTGCCAGCAGTGTC